TCACCATTTTATGTGAACATACAATGATGACAACACATAACACACTATTATTATTATTATTATTATTATTATTATTGAAGGTTCATGGTTCAGGGGGCCGAGCAAGATGGCGGCGTGAGTGGTCACTTTTAGCAAGCTCTCCCGAAATTGTTTAAGTAAGGAGCTAGCAAGGTTACATTAATGCAAGAAAACATAAACCGATAAATCCGCTAAACATTTCAAACATTGTGCTTTAAAAAAAGTGTAGAAGAAAAAAGAAGACGTTTTGAAACCTTATAATGGCTGCAAATGGTAAGTGCAAATCCATTAGCACAGAAAATACACCAACTAAAATGTCAGCTAAAAGTCACAAGTCGATGGAAGACCCAGACTTCGCTGAAAACGTCATAGCATCTACAAAGCTGACGGTAAACGAGAGAGCGGACGGTCTGCAAGCAAATATAAACGTCCTCAAAGATTCGGTGGAGTTTATCCATGCAGAGATGAAAGAGATGCAAGAAAAGATGGTGGAAACCATTAAGAGAGTTGGGAAAACAGAAGAAAAGGTGCTGCAAATGGAAAACAAGCTGCTTGAAAGTTCACGTTATAAAAGAAGATGGGACCTGCGTCTTTCGGGAATAAAAGAAGAAGGAGAAGATGTCCGTAACAAGGTTATTTCCATCTGCCAGAAGAAGACAGGATGTAAAGAAAAACTACCAGATGTTATTGACAGCGTGCACCGGCTGGGTCGCGTTACGAGCACGGGACGTCCTGGAGAAGTGATCACCCAGTTCTCCATGAGACACCACAGGGACAGCAGTCATCGTTTGTGAAAGAAAGCAACCTGCGTTTCAAGGAGGACTTGTCCCCTGAGGACCATTAGAGAAGAAATGTGCTGTGGCCACTGGTGGAAACAGCACGAGAAGAAGGAGAACATCCTTCTCCATCGGCCCCAGGGCCTTTGTTGTTGACAGAGGAGGGAAGAAAATCAAACTTGAACCTTCTAAGGACTAGAAGATATCCTGAACATCACAACTAACACTTGAGTCATAATGGTCACGTATTGACGAAGCTCTGATTATAAACTTTATTTCTCTGGTGGGAGAGTTTGTTAGATGTTTTATTTTTATTTTTGTAAATTCATTCTCAGGGTTTAAAGGTAAAGCTCTTAGTAGTATCATTTCTTTTTTTAAAGTTATTTCACTCAATGCTTGAGGGTTAAGGAACAACATCAAAAGAAAGGCAACTTTTTTATATATAAAAACTTTTAAAGCTGATTTTTGTTTTATCCAAGAAACTCTTTGGACTTGAAATGACACAAAACTGTGTAAAACTCAAAGTGGGTGACCTGTGGCTGCTGGCACTCGCCTCTACTCACCAGCAGGAGTGGAAATATTACCAAACAACTGGAGTGGACATGTTTTATGCTCACTCCCAGATACATGAGGGCATTTTGTTTTATTAGTCGTATCAGTAAATGAGGAAACACTTTTATTGGGTTCAAAGGCTAATACAAATCTAAACACAGTTCTAGAAAACTTTACATCAACTTTTGGTCTGACTCATGTCTGGAGACAAAAAAACAAATCAAAAATTGAATTTATGTATCAAAACAAAACAGGCTTGTCTAAATCAAGAATTGATTTCTGGCTGGTGTCTGATTTAAAAACTGATGAAATTAAATCTGATATTCTTCCAGCTCCTCTATCAGACCACAAACTTATTATAATTGAAAAAACGACATCAAATCAGTACAGAAAAATAAAAGTACAGCTTCCTGGAAACTCAACACTTTTCTGTTAGAAAGTAAAGCAGTGGAAGAAAACATTGAACAAACAATAATCAAGTATTAGAATAGAGCTGGCAGTCAGAAGACATTTAGTAAAAACTCTTCAAATATGAACTTAGAAAACTGTTCATGAAAACTGGAGCTGAAAAGGCACAAAAGAAACAAAAAATAGAATCGGAGGTAATAAAATAAATCATCCTATTAAATAGTATTTTACCAGAAAATGTATCTGAAGAACAAAATATTAGGTTAAACCAGTTACAACTGAAGCTGGACAATAGTTACATTTCCAAAGCTAAAGAGCTTAACTACAAAGTCCATGCTCAATAATCCAGGTATAAAATAAAATGATAAAATAAAGGTGCTTACATTAGATCGAGACAGAACTGGTTGGAAGAGGGAGAAAAAACTCTTGTTACTTTTTTTAGATTAAAAAAAGCATCAAATATGTAACAGAATTATAAAACTTCAAAATAAACAACAATAAATGTGAAGACCCAGTTCAGATCTCTGCCTTCTGTGAAACTTTCTTCCAAGAACTTTATCAGTCAAGACGTTCTGATGAAACTAACACAATTTATTAACTCTTTGAATAAAATACAACAAATGAGTCAAATTAACAGAGAGCAGCGTGATTCCCTGATTACAAGTGAAGATATCCAAAAGTCCATCAACAAACTGAAACAAAGTACCGACCGTCTCAATGCAGAATTTTATAAAAAGTTTTCAGTACAGCTCTCACCATTTTACATCAAGTTTATCTTGAACGTTTGGATTCTGGATCACTTCCACCAACAATGACCCCAGATCTCATTACACTGATCCCTAAACTGATCCCTAAACTGATCCTTAAACTGATCCTTA